CGGATGCTCTGTCTGGTGCTCTAGCTCTGCAATCTGGAAGGCGAAGTGGTATGGAAGGTAAAGATTCGACAGCGCATCTGACAGAAGTATCTCCATCTTTATCCGATTGATTAACTAGCAAAAGTTAGAAGTCGATAAGTTGATTCACCTTGTCCAGGAGATGTGGAACGATTAGGTCAGAGAGGATTGACCGACAAATAGGAACGGTTCCAGAGAACATTGGGAAAGAAAACCGGACCAAAATTATGAAGTCTGTCGAGGTGCCTTCAGTGTTGCATGCTGTGAGGCGTGGTCACTCACGAAAACTAATAAACATAGGCTATCTTTCACCTAGAGGGTCATGTGGAGAAGAATACAAAGAATCTCACATCGCGATCGCAACCCCAAAACACGGTGATAAGACAGCGGACGTGAGTGATGACGTAGTCGTCGAAAGCACAGAGGATAATCTACGGTAGACAGGACACGTAGCTCGGCTTCAGTTCCTCCAGGCACTGACTGAGTTCGTGTTTTGAAATCGTTATTGTGCTTTGCAAAAGGGGCCTGCCATTCGATGTCATACAAGAAAAGTAACATTACACGTAAAGACACGAGAGAATGAAATAGGATTAAACATGTATAAAGGAAATTTAGCTCCCGTCAAATTGTTCATCCTCAAAATCATCACCTCTTGTCGCATCAGATCGAAAAGATCCAGAAGAGACTTGATGAAAGATACATTGAAACCGATAAGATGAAGGTCGTTCATGCGAATCTCACCACACAAAGATGAAAAATATGACAATATATGACGCGTATTGCCATTTCGTCTTTGAACGAAAGGTTACGCGTACTATCATTTGACCTTGGTTAAAGGTTTTACTAACATACGCGGAATGTTGATGTACTGGAACCAAAGCAATAAGCATCCATTGTACTCAAATATGTTTTAAATTTATCAATATAGTTTAAACCTATGTCCGAACTGTTATTTACTTGGCGCGGCACTTACAGTTTCTTATTCACGCACTGGGTGCGTTTTAATATTATTGAGCTGCGAATTTCTTGAATGTTCTCTAGGTAAATAGACGCAATAGGATGGTTCGACTGCGCCACATATTCGGATAAGGGAAGATAGAAACCATTTTTATCATTATCATAATCATTAACGTCATCCTGTCCTCTTCCGCCATTTCCTTCTATCATTTTATATTATTTCTTACATATCTTCTCCTAATGTGTCAATCATATTTTGCCTTCTGCAGCCCGCCTCCGTTCGAATCTGTTTCAA